AAGCGGAGAAAAGATTCTTCCATTGGGCATGGAGGGCACTGTTCGTGAGAGTCCACTTGTGCGAGATGCCCTAATGGTCGGTAATGATCGCCTCGTGCCTGGCCTTTTGGTGTTTCGCTCTACAGCCGCCGCTGGTTTATCAGACAGTGAGGTTATCGAGGCCATTCAACCCTATATAGACAGAGCAAACAACATCGCCGACGAGTTTGCGCGTATCACTTCCGACATGATAGTCCCGCTCGCTGCTGATATTGAATATCCCGTTACCGACAAAAACAATATTATCCGTGCTGCCGCATATGCTCGTTTCGAAAATGTAATCAAGGGCCTATACACAGGAGACAGGGATACCACCAACGGGCGGGATCGCAAAAACCTGGCGCTCAATATTGGGCAACTTGAACAGCTCATACTAGGACTCTTCCGCGAGCAGGCAGGCATCGAAGTGCCAGACATCGAAGCTGATCTCTTTGGCGCGGGAGTAGATAGTCTACGCGCTGCTCAGATACGCAGATTACTGCAACGAGACCTCGATCTTGGCGGACATTCGTTACGTACTAACGTCGTCTACGATGCAGGGTCTGTAGCAAGGCTCGCCCGGTTCCTCTATGCAATGCGCACCGGCGAGGAACCTGAGAATGCACGTCCAAATGACGACGATGAAATAGTGAAGATGCAGAAGATCATTGCCGATTATAGTAAATTTCAAATGTGGTCACCAGGGAGTCTGCCGGCACCTAAAAGAGATGTTGTGGTAAGCCTTTCCCATGAACCCCTCCCCTTTCTTCGCCCCTTTCCTTCGGTATCTGTAGGTAACAGAAGAATATAGATTCTCACCGGCGCAACCGGTGCCCTCGGCGCGCACTTACTCAAGCAGCTCCTCGACGACCCCAAGGTAGAGCGTGTCGTCTGCCTTGTACGGGGTAGCGACGCCTTAGCTCGTATCACGGAGTCCATGAAGATTCGGAAACTCGACGCGCATGTGAGCAACAATACGAAACTGACAGCTCTAACAACAAGCAAACTGGGCGCTCCAAATCTTGGCCTGTCGCCAGAAAGCTACTCAGACCTGCAGCAGTCGGCTACGCTTATCATCCACGCAGCATGGCCGGTAAACTTCAACGTGTCTCTCACGAGCATGATCCCTCACATAGCTGGACTGCACAATCTTCTAGATTTGTCATTAAGAGTTCCATTCAACAGTCCCGCGCGTCTCCTATTCGCAAGCAGCATCTCGACCGCGTTCCAAATGCCCACGCCCGCCAACGTCCCTGAAGGGCCCTTGTCATCCCTCAGCTTCGCAGCACCGACAGGGTATGCGCGCTCGAAACTCATAGGCGAGCGTATCTGCGCGGCCGCCGCAGCGTGCGGGGGTGCGGTTGGCGTCTTACGCATAGGTCAAATCTCAGCCGATACTGTCAACGGAATCTGGAACGATAAAGAGGCTATCCCAATCCTGGTCCGGAGTGCGACAGAGGTTCGTGCGCTACCTCGTCTCGAGGGAGATCACGACATTTGTGATTGGATGCCGGTGGACACGGTGGCTCATGCGTGTCTGCAGCTTGCCGAGAAGCTCGATGCAAACACGAACAAACCGTCATTCTATAATATTAAACCACCGCATAAGTTTTCTTGGAACGAAGGTTTCTTGCCGGCACTGCGGAAGGCAGGTTTGCAGTTTGAGGATGTTGGTCTCGGGGAGTGGCTAGCAAAGTTGCGCTCTCGAGCTGCAGACCTAGGACCAGCTGCTGAAGTAAAACTGCCTGCTGTTAAGCTCGCCGACTACTACGAGGATACCTACAACGGCTTGGGTGTTGGCTTAGGTCCTGGGTTGGAATTTGATATACAAAAGGCTTGTTGTGATAGTAGTGCTCTCCGCCTGTGTCCAAACGTCTTAGACGCCGATCTCGTGCCAAAAATGTTGTGGCATTGGTTGGGCGGCACTACTACAAATAAACAATAGTGAAGAGATAGTATTGCAAGGGGCTGAGTAGTTATATCCCGCTAGATATTATGCAGAATGAAGCGATGTGAATAAATTAGGGGGTATCAATTAGGCGATCTCTCCTCAGGCTATTGACACTATGTATGGCAGGTTGAATATATACCTAGGTGCTCATAAGACTCATGACGCGTTATACAAAAGTAAGGACGACCTAGCTTTAATATAGGTAGTTCTGTAATTCAGAAGAGGCTCTTAATCCAGGCCTAAACTCCGGTAAGTTCCAATGGGAGAATAATCATTACAATAACCTCATCATATCGGCATCAGAACCCATAACACCTAATCATGACTCGTCACCAATCCGGCTACCAACCCTCATCATTTATACCTACTCGCCTCGGCTCCGGTAGTTACCCATCTTCTCGATGGAACTCATGATGCCGCTCCGCATAGCTGTGCCACTACCGGGGCGTGGCAGACCCCCCTGAGATCCGCCATTCCTACTCCGGTCATGAGCAATGCCACCAATCCTACTCTCTGTCGGTTTCTTTACCGACCCAGGAGCTCTGAGACCCGACGGCCGGCTGCCGATGCTGTTGCGGAAATTCTCAGGGCGAGCGTGCGGAGTCTTGGTAACAGTCGGCTGTGACGGTGGCGGCCGCGGCGGTTCCGCCTGGACAAAAGTCTGCATGGACATCAGTTCTTCGGCTAAGATGACAAGCTCGCCCTTCTCGACGCGCTCCTTTTCGAGGAGCTGGCGGAGCTCATGATTATCCATCTTAATGCTGTCGATGACGGCTTCAAGTTTCTCGATCTCGGCGCCCATTTCCTTGATCTGCGCCGAGTTCCTGATAGCCTGGACCTTGCGTTCCTCGTCTGCGAGGGTTTGATCGGGATCAACCCTGTTCATGGCGACGTCTTGGTCGAGTCTTAGTTTCTCGTTCTCCTCGGCAAGCCCCTCGATTCTAGACTCGAGCTCATGGACCTTCTTTTCCCAGCGGCTCTCATAGCTCTTCTTCAAGGCCGCAACCTTGGCCTCATGTTTGCTTTTGTAAAGCACGTGTAATTCGCGAGCTACACGCTCAACGGCGATTTCGACCTCGCGAGATCCGGTATTCCTAGTCTTATCGGGAGACTTGTTACCACTCTCCGCTTCTGAAGTGGCCTTGCCAGCGCGCATGCCTGCCATTTTACTCTCTGCCTCTTGCGCCATAATCTCGGCAGCCTCGCGTCGTTTCTCACTCTCATCTAACTTGGACTCGAGTTCCTCGCGCTCTCGCTGGCTCTTTACAATTTCTTCTTTAACCTTGCGGAGTACAGTCTCCATCTCCCGGCTGCGCGCCTCCCAATTCTCCCTCTCCTCGGTCATCGCTTCCTTCATCGCCCTTTCTTCGCGAACCTGTTCCATGCTTTCGCCCACCCGTTTTTCAGCATCACCCACCGCCGTCTTAAGAGCCAAAACTTCGGCTTCTTTACCGCTAAGGGAAGCCTTAAGGCTACTAATTTCAGAGAGGAATCCCGACTTGAGCGACTCTAATTCTCTGGGTGTTACGGTAGGTATACTACGGGGCGTGGGAAGAGGTGGGATATCGAAGTCGAGCAAGTTAGACTGTTGGCGCTGAGGCGTTGCGGCAATAGAATGCCTCGGGTTTCTGTCGAATGATTGACTCCGGTTCGGTGTCTGTTGTACATATCTGGACGAAAAGCCACCCATCTGCTCTGTAAAGTCCATGAGGAGATTGGTGGTGTTTCCAGATTCGTGCATCGTAGGAGGCCGAGGGGTCCTTAAAGGTGATGGTTCCGGCTTACTTCGCATGGCGAGGGGCGTAGAACCCGTGTTGGCGAACTTGGTAGGACTATGTCCAATTCTTGCGAACATAGTCATATTTGGCACCGCGGAGAAATTACTCAATGTGCTGATCATGGTATCGTCTGGACCCAAGGATTCATTGCCAACTGGCTGATCGCCAATTGACGTAGACGAAGTATCGACTTCGTTATCTTCGCCATCATCAAGCGTGGTATCATCGTCTTCAAAAATCTTGATAGCTGTTGCTAAACCCTCGTTTCGAAGAAGCGCTTCATCAATGGATAAATGATGTTCCTTAACTTGATGTTTCTGGGTCTCCGGGATTGGGGTTGGGGATGGGCTGCTATTGATTTTAACTGGGAAACGTTTCTCTGGGGATATCTTTCTTGGGCTCTTAGCAGCCGCGAGTTTTCTAGGTGTAGGGGACTCCTCCTCGGCAGTGTTCTCTTTCGAGATTAAAATCTTCAAAGGGGAAAGTTCCGTGCCGGACAATATTCTAGAATGGCGCGACTTGGAAGGTGAAAAGTTTTCATGGCTTTGGCCGACCTTATCTTTCTCCTCGTGCGCTTGGGATGCGAGGACAGGGCTCGAGCCGCCAGTATCGCTAGCGACGTGTTCGCTACTCATCTTGGGGGTATGCGAGCTGATGTTGTATATATTAACTTGACGGTTAGTTGGAGGCGTTGTAAAATTCAGCACACCGGTACTAGAAAGACAAAGCGGTGAAGCCATCCAGGCTCAATAAAAAGCGCTAGTAGTTGCTGTCAAGACAGTTAAGAGGGTTGTGAAGGAATAATGGAGACGAGTAGTTACTCTAGATGTATCTTGAATCTTGAATCTACAGTTTAACGCATAGCATATGTACATACATACATAGCTCAAGAGCGGAGGAGGGCGGAGGGTGCCGGAAATTGGTTTCTTTTAGTTGTGCCCAATTTAATTGATTTCCATAAATGTTTGTTCATTTCTGGTTGACGGAGAAACGGTAGCACCTGTGCGCAGGTGCGTCAGGGCATCCACATACGTAATCCCTGCACCAATGCTCAATTTAGGGCTTAGCGTCATCCCTTGTACCACGTGAGGTAAGGAGATGAGAGATAAAGACTGATAAGGGGAAGCAGGAGGGTCCTGGTCATCGTCCCTACCATTGGTAATATTAATGCTGTGCAACATTGCCAACATCCAACCAGCCGACTAGTACACCCCTTTTTCTTTAGTCAAATAAAATCAATTTCAACTCATCTCCTAATCCCAGATACCTCCTAACCTAGTGACATGCATGTGTATCCATACTATGTATCCATCCATACCACTAGGTTAATAAACTGTTTATTTCATACATAGGAAATTTTAATAGTCCAATGAGACATGCAATGAAACATGCAACGAGACGAACAAATGGCACTGTGGCGGGTAATTCTCCCACGTCTTGAAAAAATTAAGACGGTATTCTAATTCTCTCTCTCTCTCTCTCTCTCTCAGAGTGGTCTAACGCGTGTGACTCGGGATCACATCTCTTCGGAGGCGCCCGTTCGAATCGGGCCAGTGTCGCGCATAATCTTTTTAATACCTATCCAATATATATCACCTTTCCTACCTACCAATCCCCAATGATATCCTTCCGTACCTAGGTGGGTATATATATCACCCAATACCCAATACCTAATATCAAATATCCTCTTATATCCTCCCCACAACATAAAATAGATGCTCGCTCTATCGTGACAAATTACTTGAGTCTACCTCGTTCTACGTCTTCGATGTGGCCGCTCCTCTGGCTCTTCAGCATCATCGTCGCCGTCGTCCAGGGTCCTCCGTATCGACGCTCTGTCGAGGAAGTCCAAATCCTTTAACTCTTGTAACTTCCAATAGACCCACCAGAATCTACAGCGCGTGGCTGGTTAGGACGGCTTAATCGAGACGATAGTCAAAGGTTCGGGTATAACTTACGACTTTCCACTGTTCGTTAGTTCATCGATCAACCACAATGCTACCGGTTCACGAGCTGGTCGAGATAAGTCGTAGAATTGCGGGTCCTTATAAATGCTTCTGGTGACATAACCTCGTATAATCCCCCTTACGGTGTTATGATTACAGGTTATCTCGTTCCACTCCCCCCAGCGCCTTATGGGATTTCTGATCCTTGGCGTGTCCCGACTAGATATCAGTAAGTGAAAATGCTGGAAATTGCGCGCCCTTATTTCTCTAATAAGGTCTAGAAAAGGGCTCTGTCTGTTTCTCGGAAGTTTGTCGAACCCGTCAATCACCAGGTACGTCTCGCCCGGTTCGACCCGCTCATTTGGCACAGGGAATTTTTCGCGACCCAGATCGTCTATAATTCTCAGGAGGACATTACGAAGTTCTAAATTGGTAGGATGCCTTGCAGGATGAAATTCTGTACACGTAGTATATAGTTCCCGAAGAGCTGGGTATACGGTCTTGGGTGGGCAGAGTTGATCAATAACTGTACGACAAAATGCGCTGAAGTCGTGGTGGACAGGCGTCGGCTCTTTCTCAAACACGTCATGTGTAGCGCAGAAGAAGTAGGCGAGAGAGTCTCGGGACCGGCCAGGGGCCTCTAAACGACAATTTTGTCTTGTACTGTCTATGACCGAGGTGCAGAAGATTGTCTTGCCAAACCCTCCTGTAAATGTATACGATTAATAACACCGATTTAAGGGGAACACAACAAAACTACCTGGGCACCTAGACATACCAGTACCTGTCAACCACACGAACGAAGAACTGTCCGTCTCCCAAAAGTTCGGGAGGTTTGTGACTGATTGGTGAAATGGGGTTATTTTGTCCTGAACATCAGAGTTGTCATTAAGAAATTGGGTTTGATCGAGAGGAGAAAGCCAACGGTGGATGTTTATCCGCTCGACGTTGTCTAGATTCTCGTATACTGCAGGCCTAAGTTAGATTTATCCCAAGTTTGTTTTCTCGAACTACTTACTGGTACCCTCGCGCTGCTCACTCGGCTCCAGTAATCCTTTCAGCCAGAGAGCAATATCATCGCGAGTCTCACACGTAAGATGATTCAGTGGCATGTGAGGTATCTCGTTTCCTACGGATTTTGGAAACAACACATAATGGACGGGACCTCTGTTTTCGTATTTCTCCCCGACCCAACGCAAAAGCTGGCCCCAATTAGGGTCATCTAAACCTCCGCCTGCTCCAACTGCGTGGATAAAACATGCCATGTTAGCCTTCGGGGCTTCCTACGCAACTATATCATCCAGACAAACACTGGAGAGAATTTACAGGAATAAGGATCATCCCACTTACTGCCATATGTTAGCTGCTGTGGGTGGACTTAGAGAAAAGAAAAGAATGACACAGTATTGGAAACCCCAGGATTACTCATACATACCCGACTACACGAAGAGGAAAAAACCATGTCAGTTAGTTTCAACTTTCCTAAAGAATATTGGAGGGAACAATGCAATTCTGCTTACTATCAGATGTTAGTTGGTGTGAATGAATTATTAAACGAAGGGCCAATCAGGTATTTATTCGACGTACCACAAAATGGTTCTAGTAGAAACTAGATTCACGAGAGCCTCCTGGACTGCTTCGTCTTGGATCACGTCCTAATGGGACAAGAAAAACGGCCCGTCAGCTTCCAAAACCTGATTTTTATATGGGTAGTGGAGCGTATTCTCTGACGAGCTCTGTAGGATACCGTCAAGAGCGAGTAATGGCTTATTTAACTCACTGTAATATGTTAACTTGGTACTTTACGCAACAATAATTATTCATAGCACCCTTGAAAATCAACGTCTAGGATAGATCCAACATACCCTGATAATTTCGTGCAGACAAAACGATATTTTCGGGATCCTTCCAGTGGCCATGAGGATGGAAAACGCCGTCAAAAGATTTTCGTTGGAATGACGCTAGCTCATACTCATCTGACCTCCCGACAGGAGGGATCCCGCAATGCTTTTCAAGTAGGTCATCATAATTAGTAGTCAACAGCATCGCACCATTCCGGTGAAGTTGTCTCAGGCTGTCAAGAATACTTCTGTCGACAGTGATGTCGTATAAAGAGTGGAATTGATGTTTGAGCCAACCCGCAAAAAGGTCGGGACGCTTAGTAAAAAGCCCCTCCAACCTGTTTATGGCTTCGAATTGGTCCTGCTTTGTCCGATCCGGGATATTCAGTAATTCTCTCGCTCGGTCGATGTCGCGTCTATGTCGATCGGCGATTTGCTTAGCTTGGTCTTCGACATATTGGAATCCATTCTCGATTAGACCACCCCACTATGTAGAAGACGACAAAGGTTAGATCTTTCTTTCAGTAGGGGATTTTTCATAGCGTTGGGTAGGTCTTTTACGTTATGCACCCTGGGAGGCTCTAGTCAAAGCCCAGTCACAATTATGACACGATGTGAAGAAAACAAATTTGGGTTACATACTCCCATACGTCTTCTCTCGGTGCTAGGGACCGCGTGTAGAGTTACTCCAGATCCAACACATATTACTAGCCTCCCAACTTTTAATTCTTGTTGAAGTTTACGTATAGCTTCTGCTTGTCTCCTGTTGGCTTCTTTTTCCCTCTCAAGTTGATCAGGATCGACGACATTTGGTGTCTGGCTTGGCTGAGGTGCTGGTTGCGGTGCCGGAGCCGGAGCTAGTGTCGAAGCTGGTGCTGGAGTTGGTTGTGGTGCCGGTTGTACAGTTGGTGAACTGGGTGTGGCGGGTGTTGCAGGCGTTGAAGGCGTCGCAGGCGTTGAAGGCGTCGCAGGCGTCGAGGGTGTTCCTATCGGCTGCTGCGGCGTACTTGATTCCACAGGCCCCGGTCCTACCGTCTGTCCTGGGGTCGCCATAGTCTAGATGTGTTACTTTAGGTGTTCTCGTAAATGTGTGCGTAGGTAGGTATTCTTCAAGTTCTACAATTGGGGGCAACAATAGGTTGTTGAATTGCGTTTAGCATAAGCTGCTTAAACCATATATTCAACAAAGAAAATAGATAATATATTTGAATTACAATCCATGAAAATGAAAACGGTTCTATATGAAAATTGGTTATGTAAAGTGAAAGAGAAAGATACCGGAAACGGGCGTTACACAAGCGACAAGTAGGCACCTACATACATACCAGGCTAGGTACCTGTGTGGTTTAGTAAACAATACTATGCATTGTCATGTTTTATAATTTATTCTACATCTTCTCATCGATGTACATACATTGGTAGTCTGTAACGGGGGAAAATAAACTATAAAAAAAGCCCCAACTTAAAGCCGAGCCCTGGCGTGATAGCTTCATCTTTAATTTATGTCGCATTAACAATTAGGTAAATCCTTTAGCACTAAGATGTCATTGTCAAATATTGCGCATCAATGGTTTCATGGTCAGCGTACGGGCGAACTTTACTTTAGCAAGAACTTATGTACCATTTTGTACTCCCATTTATTATATACCAGAAGACGGTATCACTCAGGAGCTTCTGACGAAGCATCAGGTGCAGATTAGATAGATTCATTTGCTACCTACCTAGGTAGGCTCCTTGTAGGTAATAATGTGACTTTGTACGTGCGGGAACGTACTACTTGGGTACACGCACTTACATGTAGACATCGTACCTAATGTAAGTAGGTTACATACAGGCACTTCGTAACTTGAAGCCATCTCTTAAAGTACATACATACATACCTAGGTACCTACATAGGTAATAGTAATTAGTAGAAACTCTATAATTCCCAGATACCTACTATTAAAAGCAACTCCTTCCCCTTCCCCTTCCCCTGTACAATTCTCCGTCTCTACAAAGTAACACCAGCACTAATATTCGACCTACCTACAAGAAAACCGCCTATTCTTAGTAGATCATATTACTACAAATCAGTATTCTCCACGACACCCAAAGGCCTGCAAATCGTGTCGAGTCGGAACAACCTAACCGGGACAGCCTTCTCCTTAACCACACACTGAAATACGCCTCTAAATCAACAATCAAGTTCGCAACTCCCCTATAAATACACAATGGCACCGTCGGAAACTATACCGTTATTACCCACGGAGGAGTTTACAGTTGAGGCCAAGCCACGAAATCCTAGCACCTTGAAAATGTGTTATTGGGTCCCGGCTGCATTTCTCTGTTTCAGCTCGGTCTTTAGTTTCCTATTAATATTTACTATAACCCTACTTCATCCGCTGTTACCACGAGTCACCGGCCTTGTGACGGATATTCCCTATTCGACACTTTGTAAAACATATTTCGGGGCTTTGGTTCTGATCTTTGGACTCGGTTGTGGAATGGAATCGCTTGCATACGTCTGGTGGCTTCTGATGAGACTATTGACGAGGGACGATTCCGGCGGTCAAAAGTTCGAATTTCCCGTACTTGAGTTCTATGCAGCCATGTTCTTTGCCATTACTGTGGGGTTGTCGAGGGCTTTTGGCATCGATAGACATGTCAAGCCGATAGAGGAAGGGAAAGAATCCGTCACTACGTAGGAAGCTCATCGGCTTCATACCCAGAGTATAGCTCGCTATCCACCTACATATGTACTTACCTACTACCTAGCACGCAATATTTACATGCGAATATTACTATCATAAGTTTCTCTAATCCGTTTCCTTTAGTCATAATGCGCCTCGTATAGACCTTGCAGTCCTCAGTGATAGCCTTAATAATGACACCCGCCGGAAGCAGGAACGGCCGATCTGAATACTTGGTAGCTCTATGTAGGTAATTTTCTCTTTCCTAGAATCATACTTTTATCGCCCTGTGGTGACTTCTTTGGCTCGGTGAGCAATGTTTGGTTCGTACCTTACGTACATATATATGGGTGCTGGGTGTTCTTGTTTATTGTAAATCTATCACGCTTGAAACCCCCTTAGCCGGGAAGGGGGTGATGATGATGATGAATTTATTAATGTTGGGTAGGCGTACAAACTACATATCTAATGAGGTAGCTTACACAAGAGGCCACTCACCTCTACGAGTAACACAATATAAGTATTTCCCATGTTTTACATCATCTCTAGAAGTGCAGTCTTCAAGATCTTAAGAGTAACCTGCTGTGCAGCGTGTCGAGCCTAATTTACTTATCACGACCAGCGTCTAGATCAGGCCAAGACTCCCTAAATAAGAAGATTTAAGCATAGGTAATGACTAAATATAAAACTCGGGTATTTATGGGATCTCCCTTTTTCGAACCCGCGACTTTACGCACCTGTAAAAGATAAAGCTCGAATCGAGCCACCTAGCTTCTTAGTAGCATAGTTAAAAATTCCAAAGTGATAGCCCATGAAATATGCCCAGTCGGTATACATCGTGTAAGGTTCCCCTAATTGGGTGAACTTTTGCCCGTCTATACTGTATGAGAAATTGGCCGCGTAACTACCGCTCGCTCGAGCGTCCAGCGACGCCCGAAGCCAAATTGTCTTATATTTAGGGATATCTGTTGTTGTTGCTACTATATCCCCGAGGTCAGTCGTATTCCATGCATATTCTTCTTGTGTGATGTTGTGCACCACGGATAATGTGTACTTGGATCCATCATAATGGATACCAATATAAGCAGTGCGATTCCGGAAAGCTGCAAGGCCAAATCGGTCACCATCGGCCATATTAGTAAAATCAACTTGAAGAGTGCCGACGGGGAACTCTCCATGAATGCGATGGGTTAGGGTGTTACGCGCTGCGTACAAGTCGTCCGTCACAGTCGCAGTGGATAAAGTCACCCCGCCATTGCCAGCCTTGTACTTTGTCTCATCAGGATTATGATTCCATTCCCAGTCTGGACCTAGGGTGCTGTCATCGAAAGCGTCAGTACAAGCCCATTTTTGTACTGCTTTGACAGGAAGTGGTGTCAGATAAGATGAACCCCATCCACCAGACTCGTCGGCAACAAAAAAGGGGAAGCCATCTTCCCCTCACTTTACTGGAGCCAGAACAGGTATACGGCCATTTGGATATTCCCATGTGAAAGACATGTAGTACCAGTCACCTGTTGACGCCTGAATGAGACTTCCTTGATACGGAGCTCCGCCATTGGGTACTGGAGATTTAATACCGTTAACTAGTATCTTGCTTTCATAGGGGCCCCAGGGGGTTTCGGATTTCCATATATAGGTAATATCGCCTGGATGATCGTCAAGAATGTAGTAGAGCCCATCCTATTCATACATACGATTTCCTTCGATTCCACCCTTCCCTACATCAGAGGCACTGAAGACGTGTTTGGTCTCTACTTGGCTGAGTCCGTCTTTAGATAGCTGGGCTATAGACACGTCACTAGAGCCGTATACGACATACATGGTGTCATCATTGTCGATAAGAAGGCCACAGTCATAGTAGCATGTGCCACCTGGAAGCACAGCCGCGCGGGTCCATGGTCCGGTGACGTCCTTGGCGGTATAAATGTAAGTGTACCAGAAGTCAACACAGTCAATCCAGTACCAAAGCCCGGTACTCTTACGAAACCGCATCGTGGACGCCCATGTTCCACCCCTATATGCATGACCATTCGTCAAATTATACTTCTCGCCGAAATCGAGACTGGGCACAGAGTGACCGATAAGTTCCCAGTTGACGAGATCACCAGATCTTAAGATCGGAGCACCTGGACTGTAATGCATATTGGAGGCAGAGAAGTAATATAATCCGTCTGGACCAACAGAGTGTCTCCCGTCTTCATGTTGATCATCTAGGGGCCCTTCATACACAAAGAGGATATGTATCTAGGTTCAAAAAGGATAACTAAATAATAATATTCTCTTGACAATGAATATTTACTAATATTGCTTATTAATTAGACCTTTACGTCTTCTTTATGAAGTGCTACTTTTATATTTCGTTCAATCGTCATGTTGTGGCGTGCTCGTACGTACTAAACCGTACGATACATTTTTCAATGCAACTCTCTGCTAAAGGAGGATGTTCTACCGAGGTCGCATTGCGATTAGTTCTATAATTCTAGGAACTGCCATATAGTTTCCACAACTAAGCAACTACCTACCTAGGCAATTAGTACAGGGCTGTCAGAATGTACTTGAATGTCATCTTGTTAGAATAGAACCAGAGACTTTACTAGGTCACGACATATGAAGCTATACAGGGAAAGGCACATGAAATTGCATATATTATTTACTCAACCCTTTCTTTACACCAATTGTGTCAAGCAAGTACGCATGGTTTATATTTAGGTAAGTAGGTATTTAATGAATTAACAATTCAATTGATTTACTGTTCAACTTCTATATTCACAGTTGAAGGCTAATAATTGACACACTTCATACTACCTACTATAAATTCAGAAAATTATGATGAAGACTATATTAAGCGATTAATCACTTCTGTGATCAAGTCTATTTGGTTTTTATGTACAATACAGGAATTACTATGGTTCGTAGACGAGGTCTATTCTGTGGAAAATGAGGGCAGCTTCGTTGCTATCTATGATCCCTACGAAGAGTAATCCCAGCAAACCAATGAGGGGAATGGGTACCTACCTACCTATTATAAAGATCAGCACTCAAGGAAGAAAAGACGTTTAATAGGTAGATTCCGCCACGTTATCCACGTTATCCACGTTATCCACGTTATCAAGCTCGCAGAGAAAACAGCTAAGATTAGGTAGTTCAGGTACCTAACCTTAGGTACACACTATGGAAGGCTTAAACTTACCAGGACAGGGATGCCGGGGTAAATTTACAGGTCGGGTTTTGAAATCGTGGGGACCCCCAGAAACACTTGAACCAATGGCATCAAGAGCGGCATAGTAGCCCCCGGAATTTGCACCCAAGAGCCTGTAATTCGGCGAAATATTGTACCTGGGTACTTTAGCTCCTTCGCCTAAACACCAATGCCTGCAGTCGCCTTGGTTCATCTCTTATCTCCTTCTACTCCTTCTACTTACGAGGCTCTCGCCTCAATTGATTCGGCGCTGATCCGTAGCTGGATAATTCTGCATTTGAGTGGCCGGAAGAATTACTTGGAAGCACTAGGGAATTTTTCCCGAGCCTACTTTGGCTGGTTTTCTAATCATCGCATTCGTAGCTTCGCCTCGTGGCCTCCCACTTGCGACCTCAATAGGTACTTTCAGCTTTCTAATAGTGGAGGCTTGTATATATCTATGATTCTATCTTCTCGAACCTCAAGATGTCTCTTGCGATATCTTATAAGGCCGCATGAGTTGACCTATTCATAATTCGCCGACAACTCCGGACAAAACACCTACGGTACCTAGATATCATTCTACTAATGCGGCGCTGATGCTCATTGTTTTCATACGATAAGTTCCCCGACCGAACGTAAGCTCAAGGACACGCCTGTCATGAAGAGCCTGTCGCCCGAGACGATCCCGATATTCAGCCGTTCATAGTATTAATATCGTTGGTCATTCGGATCAATTAAATCACTCCCCAAGCCTAGAGATCTACCTTTGTTAACGCGGGGACGTCGTCTATTAGGGCAGTATGGCGACAGTCCAACAGCTGCACCAGGCTCCTACGCCAGCCTGCCCGCTTAACAATGCCGGCGCATCCATCTCAACCGTAGAAATAGATATAGAGCGAAACTTGCGACCGAGAGCTATGAAGGGGTCTAAGACTACGAGCGGACTGCAAAAAGGCGATACTAGAACGGCGGTTATCATCTATGGCCCCGGCCAGGATCGCATAGTATCAGTTTTCGCAGACGTCTTAGGGAAACCGTATCGAATGGCCGACAGCTTTCAGGGCATAACTTCTATAGAGCAAGAATTGGTACTTGGAATATCACTGGGAAGCGCCAAGATTGATATTTCTTCGCGAAATCGAGATGCGGTGGTTGCGATTAATGCTCACTGCGTCAATCTCGGGATGCCTCCGGACACTTATATATCTGCGCAGTGCGACTACGAGTTCTTATATCCCGAAGCATCATTCTCACGTCGAGACCTAGCCCGCTTTATTTCCTTCACCCTCGGTCAGATTAACCACCATGACGCATTAATGTCAAAGCCGCGCACTTATTTCATTTCGACCACATTTCCTGATGTTCGGGCAGCCCTTCCTAACATAGATATTCTCACGGTTGGTGCCGACGCTGTAGAACTACGTGTCGACCTTCTCAAAGAACCTTTAAATGATGGTACTTTTGCGCCGATACCTAGTCTGAGTTACGTTGGGGAACAAGTTATGCTGTTGCGCCAGAGGACCGAATTGCCCATTATTTTCACGACAAGATGTACGCAGGAGAACGGTCGGTTTCCGATGGATAAGCCCGACTTGTATTACGAATACCTCTTCCGGGCTATCCAGTGGGGTGTTGAGTATATCGACGTCGAGCTTTGGCTTCCGGAACATATTCGTCGGAGGCTGTACGAAAAACGCGGGAGCAGCCGTATTATGTCTGCGTTCCATGACTTTTCTGGCACATTCAAATGGCCTTCAGCCCAGGCAGAGTCCATCTTCCTTGAGTCTCGAAAATATGCCGATATCATAAAAATGATATCAATAATAAACGATCACAATGAAAATTTCGAGTTGGAATACTTCCGCTCGAAAATTCGAGGCGAATATCCAGACTCGCCCCCCCTTTCAGCCGTCAATATGGGCGAAACTGGTCAGTTCTCGAGAACTCTAAACAAGGTCTTCACACCCATCACTCACCCTCTTCTTCCGATAATTGCTGCGCCAGGTCAGATGAGTGCTGCTGAGATTAATGCCGCACTGTCATTGCTTGGCCAACTTCCAAAGAAGAGTCTCTACGGAATTAGTAGTCCATTCTCCCGTATCGCGACTCCGCACGCGCCCTTCTACGAGAAGTGTTTCAACGAGCTTGGCTTACCACACCAATTTGCTGTTGTCGAAAGACACCTTAAGGGACCTACCTGTGTGGAGGCGTTGTGCAATCAAAAATCCTTCGGCGGGGCATATTTGAGTCCGCCAGTATCTCTAGCAAGTCTCATGTACGAGAGCTCTTTCTTTGCGGGGCTTAATAATGGGTTGGGCCCATCACTTACTGAAGCTGCTCGTACGATTGGTATGGTTGATACCATCGTCGTTCAGTCTCGATCGTCTCCACCATCCTCAGCACCCCCTGCCACTCCTTCAGGCTCTGACCGGAGTGTTGACACGTCCCTAAATTTTGGCATCGGCAATTGTAACGGGTTGCCACTAAGCTCGACACTAATCTTTGACAACGCAAATTGGCGTGGCATCGTCAGTACTCTGACGCGTGATCTTGCGCCCTCGGCTTACTCTGGTCGTGCGGCAGTTGTCCTAGCAGCGAACTCCGACGACGCAGCGTCAGCTATGTACGCATTGAAAGCGCTTCGAATTGGTAAGGTATATACTGTTGGTTTCAAAACACCCCCTAGTCTAGCCCGCGGCCTCGAAGTCGAGCCCTTCAACAGTTTAGAGAGTCTCCAAAGAGCGAGGATGGTGCGTGATAAGGCCAGCCCTTTCGTAATCATCTCTGCTCTGGGACCCGAGAAATCTAATATCGTCGGGATGCTTGTGCGTGTGTTTGGAGGCTCAAGAGGCTCATCCACGCAGATTCGCAAGGTCTTCCTGGACCTGGCCGATGGACCGAGGAAGGGAGACCCAAGTGCGGTTGCTGAACAGAGTGGCTTCGCCGCGTACGGTGTAGCAGATACGACAGCATTCACAACCGTAGAAACTCTTAGGTTGCTCGTCGGCCAAAATGTGCCCTACAGCTTTGTGCGGCTTGCGGGCGGTCAAGGAATGTTTTAAAAGAATCATATATATATACCCCGGGGAGAGTTGGTAGGATATTAGATGCATAGTGCTTAGGATTCAATATATGCAGATTACCGGCGAACTGTGTATGATGCGATCAGATGTAATTCTTCTGAACTCTGGGCCAGCTAGTTGTGGGCATATCTCGGAGACCTATTCAGAAATTTTTCTATATAGGCGTCTTCTCCAGAGTATACTACCAGTATACTACCCGCACCCTTTCTTCATCCCGTTTCTCTGTATTTACAAGTTCAAGTGAACTGGAGATTCTTCCGAGAACGCAGTCCCGACGTACGGAACCAAGGGGCTACGAAACCATCCGTTAAGGATATTCGGTGTAGCATGCCTGGGCATTCTCGTAATTGGGCAGGCTTATCTAAGGCCGAGAAGTACTATGCTCGTATTGCTTAACCTACGCTTATACTTGTTTAGGTAGGTAGGTACGGTGATTCATCGATACCGAACTAAAGCGCCAGACGAGTATAGAAACCTTGGAGTGCACATATGTAACCACATACTCTTTTGGAGATGCCATTGAACCCCCACGCCCCTTGTCTCCCGTTCTACGTCTACGTACAACCCTACTCCTTCCGTTAGGTGTTGATGCCGAAGTGCTAGAGTCAATCCACACTATAGCAGCTCGGAGTTTTTACCAAAGCCTGGAGGTAATTTTCGTGAATGCCGAATTTGCGTTAGAACCCGGACAATTCTCCGGGTGGCTGCTGAAATGAGTAGTCAAGCCCAGTGCAGCGAAGTGAGAAATTTGATAAATCGAGATGCAAAAGCTGAGTAATGGACGCTTATGCTATGCGGTTAAGACCGGCTTATTGCAGATACACTCAGACTAATATAATCTCATACGATGCTCCAGTGGGCTTGATATATAGCCTACGGGTACCTGAGTCGGCGCATAGGATGATAGGGGGTTTTAAAGATACTGCAGACTTTTTATAGGGGTCCGGCAGGGTACTTCGTATGTTTCGTATATTATACCCGCATGCGGTATAAGTCGTTCAATTAAAAGAGCCTGAATATCAGGATATATAGTCGAGATGACACTCGAGGAGCCGAAGCTGCATGCAGCCAGCCATAATAAAAGGGTTACCCACATCGTCTCGATGTGGAGAGAATTTGATGCTTCACGGCATCTATCCCGAGTCCGAGTTCGTGATAAAGGTGTGTTGGGACGTGTTTATGTCCTATCATTTTCATCATTTTCACGAGAAAATAAGGGTATCGTTCGACTTCTGACATGTGTGATGCAGGTGCAACATGTCAATATTGCACCTCAGTACCAGCCAGCAGGCTATTCAGGGACCGGATCTGTCACTAACCTAAATGGCTGTGGCCGGGGAACTGGGCATTACATATCCTAAAGCAAGGGGCTGCTCTAGTGTGGTGTACCTAGACATAAATCTTGTTCCTTGCAATGAAAAAACTTGGCTCACATTACGAGCCGATGCGACTTTAAGTCAGGTATACTCGAGCGTCGCTTTCATACGTGCGGATGTGCTAGGTATTAGTAATATAAGTTGTTGGGAAGATATTATTAGGATAACTGGATTAGTTCCGTGCATCCTCAACCCAATATAAATTTATGTATAAATATAAATATAAATATAAATATCGGTTCTTATATGTATGTGCGTTCTGGATATTATTAGGAACTTTAGGTAAGGTACCTAGGTACCTACCTAGGTAAGGTAAAGTAAAGGAGATACCCGCCTATCTTTTAACGGACATACATAAACAAGGTACACTACCTATGTATAGGTACCTAGGTAAACATCCGTTCTTATTTCCAAATTCGAATAACCTCGTTAAGTACTTAAAATACATATATTAGGTAATCAATATTTTAGACTAATGGTATAAAAGAGGGGCATAGTGGACTCGGGTCTTCGAGCGGCGAGCATTAACCCGGTCCGGCTTCTACAGCAACCTTAAAAATCTTTAAACCTACTATTATTTACTGAACGTTTATCTTCTAAACTTCACAACACCCCTGCTTTGCCAACTCTCGGAATACATACCCGCGCCTTCTTCCGAGATGAGTCTTAAGAGGCCTCGACTCAAACAAGAAATAAGACATTCGGTATATAGTATCACACGTGTCATTGTTACGATCGTGAACCACACAATCTACGATCTAGATACGCGCAGTACCAGTGACGTGGAACTGCATCTTACGAGATGCCCTCGAAAACCCTGTACAAGCCTACGTGATGGCAGAATCTTAAAACATGGACCGGATTGGCCCTATAATTTACTTATAATATACCTACGATCGGCCTTGCAACATCAAACGCGCCTAGATGTGATATATCGACCCACTGTCATCTATTCGGGTACTCCCATATCTTTAAACCGTCCCAACTCTTGATATAGATGCATGATTACTGGGTCCTGCCGGTTAGCACCGCCCATCCCACGCTGTCGGTATCCGCCTCGAGCAGGGCATCAATTCCCCAGACCCAATGGAGCTATTGTAAATACTATGAGGAGCCGTTCGGACTCGGTTCAAGTATCAGCAAGACAACACACCAAGCGCCATCATCTCCGAATGGGCGTTTTGAGTTCACGTCATCAGGAACCCGGTTAGACATACCCAGTTCAAACGAATGAATGCCTACCTAGGGTCCGTTACAATTTTAGCTACGTTCTAATATCTCGGGGTGGGTCTCACGGGGCCATCATCATCGGTGCCCGGGACAATGACATCCAATCCGACAGAGAAAGATACATACTTGGATGCTCCGGTACGTCACAACCGGCCTAGAGGAATCATAGCCTCTCGAGAGTTCACTCGGTGTCCTGATGTCTCGAAACAGTAGGCTAGCTAAACTTGGAGCACTAGTAGAGACTACATGTGTAGTTATTCGCGGGGAAGTTGTCAAGATCCAGAGCTTATGCGCCTATATGTGCCTTGGAAGCCACATACACTTACACGACACTAACCGCAAACGCACAGATATGGATAATGTAAGAGGTCGTGTGCCTGCATATTTGCCTCCAACTATTTACCTAGCTATTCGTAGAATGGAGTAGTTCCATGCTAGCCACCAGGTCTAGCTTCATACATCAGAGGTAACCACTGTCTCTGGCATTAGCGGTCAATATTCAACACTCATGGCTCGAGGATCAAGCTAGTATACAACGCTCCTGCACCGAAGCTAACATAAGTAAGGTCAAGCCAATTAGTACCAGCCTAAGTCTTAGTTGGACATCCGCCAAGCTGGCAACGGGGACTACCTTTCCTGTTATTCTAGGAAGTATCTGGTTCTGCGCGGCACCAAATTACGAATAAACTCCTCCATATGGGAGGCTTAATACATTCGACTTGGATAACAGCTTAAAATAGTTCTCAATGTGGCACCATCTACCCATAAGTCGCTCAAGATTGGCAAGTCAAAGCTCGCTCGTACGGTAAAGAAAGTATGGGCATAAGACTTAGAAATTCCACGACGAGGATCAATAACTCTGAACGGCTCTTCACGAGGACAGTGGAGTCGGCGCTTCTACGGCTTCAACTACCAGGATAAAACTGTTAGTCAGGATTAGGGAGGTCAATGAGGATTGATTTCTATTGGCGCGCAACATATGATGCCGCCATCTCTAGCACGTGGTATAATTCTCGAAGAGTTAGAGCTCTCCTCCACCCCTACCTATCACCACCACTACAACCAACTCCTCCGTATTCCCTTTCCGCCGGTTTGTGTCCTTCCCATTGCGTACAGCACGGGAATCTAGCTAAATAGCATTAAGCTCAAGACTGTAGTAACGGCAAGCGGCCCCTCTTATTAACATGGGCCGAGAATGAAGTCTGCAAGAACCCCGTTTTGGTCGCCTTCCGACGGCTCGGTCCCAGTTTGTAGCCAATCCAAACCCCCTGCTCTCCTGGCCCTCTCAGTTCCCTGTAATCTTCCCCAGTTTACCCCGTCAGGTCCCGCATTGACAAGGGCTTCACGAGCCGAGTGGGTAATGAGCAGGATCGTGCTAGAGGTAGGCCCTTGCTGATGCCCCCAAGACGTTAGTACATAGGGCCGGTAAAGTCAGTCACTAAACCCCAATCGTCCACAAGCCGTCTCCCACATCTTCAGCGTCTCTCCGCATAAACTATGCCCCATCTTTTCCCATCTGAATAAAGAACCACAAATTTCAACATGCATTGTGCGGTCGTGAGCCCTTCTTCTTATTAGTTCCTCTCCGCCGTACATATTTCTCCATGTCTCCAAATTCTAGCAAAATAGTAGTGTTATTGGGCGCGTCAACATCGTTACTAAGTATACTAAGTATAATACAATATGCAACAAACACTATAGCACTATATCAACACGGAAATCCAAACTAAGTAGCCGACAATCGGTCAACTATAAGGATGAGAGGTTCATTTACCGTTCAGTGAGAAACTCTATCTCTATAGAGGAAAGATAAGGAGAAAGAGAGAGAGAAAGGGATTGGACGCGCCGATTCGACAACGACAGTCTCGATTCCGGCCTCCAGAAACCCTTAAACGAGGAGATATATTTAGAATCGGTCATCATGAGTATCGCACCTCTCCCCGGAATTCAACCCATCATTATGTCGCGGCCACAAATCGGCATCGAGCGATTACCAAGTCGTCGTATGGGCAACGAGCCACGAGAAGCAATGAATTGCAAGTCATGTCGGAAGCGGAAAGTAAGGCTCCTTACGTCGACCGGATCAAATCCAATTAGCCCAGTTTTGTTCTTAATCTAACGAGCGGCATTCTCCGTGTAGATTAAATGCAATCGAATGCGTCCATCCTGCGAAGCTTGTCAAGTCTTCCAATGCCCATGTATCTACGGTACGTAGTTAGCTTTCTCTCGCCCGCGGGAGAGCCCCTTGATGATAGATTCCAACAGCGGAGCTAATTTTACCTTGATTCCTATCCTTACAGACGCTATACCAAAAAAACGAGGCCCCAAGACAGATGTATTGGAGGCATTGCTAAAGAGGGTGGATGGCTTAGAAGCTCAGCTCAAAGATCATAGAAAGGCCGATGCTTCACCAACCACTGAAAATCTTCCGCATGTTAGTACGGAAGAAACGTCTCCTAGTGCCAGACTGGCAGCAGACGATTCAGATTCTGGGCCAAAATCAAAGCGTCCAACTCTAGACATTTCTCGAGCAACGGAGATAGCTTCTGAATCTGCTATATACTCACCTTCGATTTCCAGCGAGCCCTCCCCTGGCGTACAGATAGATACGCTCCTTGACACGTACTTTTCTCGGTTCCATGCGAAACCCTACCATATCCTTGATGAATCGTCGGTGAGACAACGGCTACAACTCAACCAATTGCCTAGTTACTTAATATATGCCATATATTCCGTCGCTGCTAGGTTCGCTTCCGCTCCGTAACCTTAGGTACCCAAGCATGTGTACTAAGACTTGATTAGATACACAACGCACCCTGGTGGATGTCAGTCCGCTGCTAAGTTGAGTGAGGAGTATGCGTTACGATCAAGGGGTGGGATTGATGCAGACGAGCCATCCATCGATGCTCTTCAAGCTCTCCTTCTCCTCGTCACCGCGTTTACGGCAGCAGGCAAGGGTAAAAAGGCATATATGCTCCTAAGTAAGTCTCCAGATGAGAATGGTGATGTTCGGTGCAATTTATAGAATCCTAAACTAATTATCTCATCAAGCAATTGCCATTGGAATGGCCATGGCCCTTGAGTTACACCGGGAGGTAAATCTACAAGCTAGGATAACAGCCGTGGAACGTGAAATGAGAAGACGCTTGTTTTGGACTTGTTATCTTCTCGATAGATTCATGACATGTGGATCAAAACGCTCCTGTCTTATCAGCGACAGGACTATTCTTCTACGCCTTCCGTGCTGGTCTCCGAATCCATCCAGTTTACCTGTCGAAGGAGACTTTTTTCAGAACGGATCGAACCTTCAACACCTACAAGGTAACAGCAGGAAGTCTCAGGGGAGCAGCGGAATGCTCATCGACATCAGCCGTATTCTGGGAATTACAAATAGATATCTTGCAGCGGGAGGTGTAAAAGGCGATTCTCACTTCCCCTGGCACGCCCTTTCTGAACTTTCCAAAATCAGGCAAGATCTCGATATATGGGCCTCGGGGACTGCCGACGTCTTCTCGAGTGTAGATACCCTATTCGGGCAACCTGATTCGACTGTTCTTGTTCTCGGCAAACTCGTCTACCACCTAATTCATTGTCTTATTTACAGACCCTTCCTCCCAATTGACCTTGCGGAATTGGCTGGGACGGGCCAACATCAATCTTGGCAAATAGAAGCCACTAACATATGTTTCTTGCATGCCAATGCGATTGCTGAGTTGGTCGAGCTCGGCAGACAGATGCCATCCATCGAATGGCCCGCTTTTGTTGGCTATTGTATCTGCACCGCAGGTACAGTTCATATACATGGGACACATTACAGCAAGAACGGAGGGGGAGAATCTATGAGTGTTCTATCATCATCGTCGGAGTTCCTATCCCGAGAACTGCAGCAACTAAGCGAGCTGAGTTATACTTGGGCGAGTGTGCAACACCAACGCGACGCCTTGCAAAGCATATACAGTGCCCACGCCGAACTAGTCAAGGGTCTTGCTAACAGTTCAATGCGCTATTCACCGGCTTTCAATCTCGAAGACTTCTTTGACCGCTACTCGAATATTAGCAGGCCAGGAGGTCGTCCGTTTACGTTCGACGCTACCAATCTTAGCCTTTCGGATATCGCTACTAATTTCGCCACGGATACCTACTCAGGACCTGATTTGTATTCGCCGCCTATCAATACTGATTTCGAACGGCCAAATCTAAAGCGAAAGAATACTGCTCTTAGCCAAAGACGACCCGACATAAGTTTAACCTCAGTTAACGTAGCTAACAACAGACCCCTAACTCCTGGACTGCCTACCCCTGGAGCCCATCCCCGGCACTTCTCTTTCTCTGCAGCCCCCCATACATCATCTATGATTCACACGTCCAGCTCATTGCTTCCCTACACAGATAGTCCATCCAGTAGTACTACCCTATCAGTGCAACAACGACGCGAAACGGTCAGTAATAATCAGGCTGCTAGCGCTGCCGCCACCGGAGCTACAGGAGCTGGGTTCAATCCAGCATCCTACCAGCCGACCCAGTCGCAAATAGAAGCCATGTCGACGGTCCCCTTCTCCCCCTCGTATCAATACGCGACTCCCAGCCCGAGTGGCGACAACGAAAGCAACTTCGGCATCGCTAGCTACGACCCGATGTTCGGAACCGTACCAACCAACACCTTCTCCTCCCCCACGCCCTGGCACGGCGAAGAAGACCCCCGCAAGCCGCCGTTGCACCTAGCCGCCGTCCCGAGCCCAGGAGCGGGCAGCCATAACGGCAGCCCGACTACTGCTCCTGGGGAGGACAAAGACCCGTTCTTGAGCTTGCTGGAACAGCTTGCGGAAAACGAGCATGCTATTGGGCAGGGCAAGGAGATTGATTTTTTCCTGGCGGGGGCGCAGGGGTGAGGCAAGCGAATGCTTTAGGGCCCGTCTATTTGCCATGGTATTGATGTGGCGAGGCGAGGCTGGCTTATATGGCGGGGTTGGAGTTAAACCGGCATTCGGACGAGCTCTGCGGTGGGGTGGATTGGTGTTTATTTACGACAGTGTACCATATGGTTGGTCCAATATTGATTTAGTGGTACTTCATCAGCGAGCGAGCGATCTGGGAGATGTCACGACTTTTTATATTTTATTCATGTTTGACAGGCATCCTGTCTGTGTAATTAGTTATGTGATATGGGGTTCAGGAAGATGTGTAACGAAGAAAAGAAAGTATGTATTTATAGGCTCGGGAAAATAGGGGGCGGCGTACATAGTATATATGAGCCGCGCTTTGGTTAGGTAGAGCGATAGTTTGACGTGGGTGTGTAGTCCTTGGTGATTGATTTCTGATGTATATAGCAGTGTGGTTCTATTATATATTATGTTAGGTAGCTTAGATGAAGTTGTACCCAATGGTCATGTCTTTGGTAGCACTTTAACATCTAGGTACCTCAGGTATGTATATATCCATAACTACCTAGACTACCTTGCTATATTCTTATATAATAACATTGCCAATTGCGTAATGTACACCTGGAAGAGCCCTATATAATAATCAAAGTTATGTAGAAAGGCTTAAACGATCATGTATACCTCTTAATATCAGATGTATAAGATACTAAGATCAATAGCCTCAGGAAGTCAAATAAGATAATGGAGACGAAGGTAAAGAGAATGAGTCTAACAGTAAGATAGCTTGTTAGTGAATAACTTGGAGATAACCTAACTGAATTAAAGAAAGTAGAAACTCGGAAGTAGGGTGTAATATAATAAGCCAAAGCCAAAGCCAAAGCCAAAGCCAAGGCTTACGACATTACCATACATTATTAGTTTATTACGTGCTCGAGTGGTCCCTATCGTGGGAGCGAAAAGAGGAAAAGATCGAAGGTAGGGGGGGGGGGGACAGTTCCAAGATGATAGGTTACACCAATCTGCAATTAGACCAACTAACATATAATAAAACGCGGGGAACGGTAATGCATACTGCCTGCCTACTATGCAGATCTGATCACCTACATCTAAGTGTGTCTCGTGAAGATTACATGTACTTGAGGTACCTATCTTTATTGTATTGACTTTCGAATATGGAGGTCGTATTTCAATGTCTTCTAACTACCTACCTAAGTTAAGTAAGTACATAATCACTATTAAAGTAGTTTATATTTTTAGAGTTTATATTCGAAGTTGGTTAGGTACCGTGGTTTTATAAATCCTTCCTGAATATCTAAGGTAGGTGGTACCTTAGGTAGGTATACAGTTCGAACCCATACTCGACTAACCTACCTGCTTCATTCCGTGTCATCACAAAACGGGCAAAGCACATACTTGGCGATATGCGCTAGGGAGGGTACAGGCCAAGAACACTGTATGAAGTTTTCAGCCGCCTCGTAGGAACCCCACAGTTCCAACTACCTTCAACCTCCTCAAAATGGCAGTCCCTTTTCTATCTTACGCTTGGATACTTGGAGTTGGGTATTCTCCTATCAGGTATCTAGGTAGGTAGTTAGTGTGACCTGATTTTTATAGTCTTTTTGTTGCTGTAGTGTTATGTAGAACTTACCGACTATATTCGTAATGATTAAGACAATTCCCACAGTATTAGGTATGCAAGATTTTGTAGCAATAACAACTTCGCCCATCCTAATCTTTATTATTGGAAAATTCTCCATCTGTGCCGAGTAATCATAATGGTTTGTGGCACTACTTTGCGAAGTTCTGATCGCCCGATTCCTAATTGTTGCCGTTTATTGATTGGTCCAGTCGGGTCCAGTCTATTCTGATGATTTACTTACTGCAGCCGTCATCGTTATTGTTGCATACACGTTAAATACACCCAGCCAACCTATTTAGCCGCATGCAACGGAGTGGGCTATGTACATCAGCGGCACCAATGTTGACGATCTTCTGCAATGATTCAACTATTAATTCAATAGGCGTCGTACGCGTAAGCGAAGCTTGTTGGCAGACCTATGCCGATCCCCGGATCTCATCACTTGTGTGAATTTAATGACACAAGGCATCTCCATTTCCTCGTATTCACGCTCGAGTTTTATTGATGGCTGGCTGATTTAATGTATCTTAACTTCGAGTTTTGTTGGTGGCTGGTAGATTGAACACGTTTATTTGACCGTTACGTTTTTCCTTGAGGTTTCGGGTCAAATGACGAGACATCCAGTTACATTATATCGCTACTAAGGTTACCGCCATAGACATAATGCTTCCCTAATTTCTCAACTACATAAGACAAATAACATTACTTGAACGACTGATTTATCTACTTCATACATATCTATCTCCTAATGTCGCCAAATACTCTTAGAAAAGATGAGCTATGTAACGTCTACGTTTAACTTGGATAATTTTCGTGGTGGCAAGCTTGGTAAGTTGGTCTCAGTGCGCATCGAAAGAATCGATCAGAAGGGCACAGGAAGACAGCTGGAGACGCAAGGTAATTCTAGAGATTGTAACACTAGAACTCATGATAGAATGAAATATATCGAAGATTATTCATCTTTTAGTCGATGGGACCCCTTGGTCATGTGAATTTCATGAAGCTGTTATATTCCATAGTCACTTTTTTGCTATGAGCCATGCTTGTCAGCCAATCTTCCTAGAGGGTTCGAATCCCAACTACCTAGAAAGAAGTCGCTCATCTTCACCAGTGTTTAGTACGTTGCATTGGTTGGCATATCCCCATTTAAAGAAGTGACATCTTTTGTATACAGTTATCACATACTGCGCCAATGCGGCTGTCTTCATGAACTACTTTAACTCGTATCAAACGTGCTAACATCCAGTTGTCTCAAGATAACATGCATTTAGGTATAATTAGTATTTCTTTCCAGCTACTATAATTTCTATACATTAGTATACTTCGACCCAATAAGATTTCATACATTCATCACGGGTGTAGTCTATCAGATCACCCATATTAAAGCTACGCATTAATTTTTGGTTTGTTTCGATCCTTAATATGATAGAAGCTCTTCGTGGCGAACCATAAAGCTGGTGACAGCTTCAGAAGCATTCTGCAGCAGAGTACCACGATCTCAAATTGTTATTATTTTGAAAGCCACTTCAGATAGTGTCGTTTGCTGAAAGTCAATAATACCGATGTCATGCTCCGCGTGCATTGTTTCGGCAAGGGTATAGATATTCCCATACACATCGGCTTGGACTGAAAGAATGTCCTGTCCTTACTACCTTTTCTTCTTCTGCATATATCTATGAGTGTATCTTATAACTCTAAAATGCTTGCTTAACGTCCTCGAGCTTTATCACATCGCTACTGCCCGTTGACAGCTTAGTATAACACTTGATCTCCTAATATTAGCAGCTATTTCCCTTACTGTCTCGTCCCAGTCCTTGTCTTCCTTACGAAGGTACCTTATATCCACATACAGATTCCCAGGGTTCTGACAGATACTAGCAATGCCATGTTGGCCCTAGCGACGAGCGTTTTCGGCTGCAAAGAACTAATTACCTGCTTTGGATGCGCTATAATCCTTATACGTGACGATGGTGGGTTTTTATGCATGCGAAGTTGATACCATGCTGAGGCGCGCACATGTCAATTTGTGTAGAGCCTGACCATACAATCCTCACGCTGCCTGGAGCGGCCGTCTGCGCTGCTGTGCAGAGTATCGGTAGTAGGTCCTACGCGAAGAGCATCAGAGCAACGCAGTTCGCGTATACATGCGCCTCGATGCCCTGTTTCGTTACGCTTCCTGGCGGGCATCTATTGTCAGCGTTATTTCACAGAATATCCAGGCGCGGGTCCTGCGCTGCTAATACCGCCGCTTCTGGTCTGCTTATCTCCAGATCGGAGAGGCTGAGAAATATATATTCAAGATTCGATGGGGTTGTGGGAGAGGGCAAAGTCGAATTAACTTCGGCTGTAGTAGCCCGGAGTTTGGTGAGCAAGCGTTCCGCGAGGTAACTGGTAGCGCCGGTAGGATAGAGGACCTTTACGAGAGAGAGAGAGAGAGAGAGAGAGAGAGAGAGTCTAATACCTGAATTAGTACTGGTGATGATAAAGACCTTGCCGACTTGACTCCCAGGACCAATTTATCCTTTTCCATGAAGGCGGGGGCTGGTGGGAAGAATTGCTGCCAAAGAGCCCCAAACCCGGATAAGGTGGGCATCATGAGTTTTTGCTGAGTACTTATGAACAGAAGTTGTGTATCACCTACAGGATGAATCCCGCGATATCTGGAGAATTAGGTGGGATTTCAAAGCTTGCTTGTATTTGTGAAGTAGATGTGTAGATACCAACATGAAAATATTTAGGCCCTTATATATGAACATATGAGGTAAATAGATACCATGCCGCAATAGAAAGAAATGGCCTTAAAAAATAAATCCGACTCGGGGCTATACGCCATCGTTAATTACTGTCACTTATTTAAATTCGTGTCTATAACATTATAGCATCAAGCCGACGTAGTGTTCATCATCAACTGGCACATGCTACTATGAGACATTCATGCTCTGCCAGCGCGTTCACAAGAGACCACTCTAAAATATATTTATTGTCAGAAAAGCATACAAAAAATCCGACATAGGTAAGCTATCGTTCGTCTATCGACCTCCGAGTCCGATAGCAATCTAAACAAAACAAATAGGATACGCCGGCCGCCGCGATGCCCTCCTCGCCTGAAATACATTTATCGTAATAAACGTGACTTCAACTTCAAATGTCCCATTTACAATATTGTTTCTACTCCCGTCATTGGTATTATATGGCATGTATAATCCAAAGTAGCATTCGAAGTAAGACAAGTAAATGACCCGGGTCACTAATAATTTTAGGTTGAAGAAAGCCGGCGTTCGGCCCCACTATAATACGGAAGACGGCCGGAGCAGGTAGAACCAAGATATGGAAGGCAGTAGACGTAGTTGCGCCATATGTGAGATATTTGTTTGCTTCTTAGGTAATTATCCGTACTAATATATCCCGACTTTGTATACCTCTATGATCTAAATCATACGTGTCACTGTGTTGCGATTCGCGTCTAGGAATTGTAATATGTCACGCCTCTGCGGTCACGGGCCGACAAGCGTAAACTTATATACACTACCAGCCTCGGTGGCAGTAGCCATAGCTGGGAGGGGTCCATACAAATATTAATTAGCGTGTTCTTGCTATTTATAACGACTTATACCAATCGGAATTAGCCGAAACGGTCATGAGGGAGAGAGACGCAGAAAGCGCGCACTCTATTCTTACGAGATGCTACCATGAGTATATCTTTTACTCCGTATACCCAAAGGGGTAGCTGCTTTATACTAATCATCTTATAATTACATATTACTATAGGCGTGGTGGTAGCGGCAGGAACAGATATGGGAATAGCTTTAGGCCCATCTGGCCTTGGCACCGCTGCTACACCCACTGCCTCGGGTCCCCGTTTACCTATCCTGGTTCTGTTCTTTCCGGCGCCGAGCCATTGCTTCGATCTAGTTTCAATCGAAGATAGATCTCTTGGCTTCATCCACACATAGCCGCTTCTCGCTGACCTAGAGTCGCGGGCGCCTGATTCTTCGCCATCAGATCTTTCCCTATTTCCCCCGGAGGCCGAATATGAGATGCAAGGGGCTGGAGATAACTTATATGAGCAATTGGGGGAATTCATATTGTAATCACTTGGCTATGCTATTATTCTTGCCTATCTGACGCAGCTTTATTTATTATTTATTTTTTGTGCACGACCGAGTAAAGAATGCTGGTAAAAGTTCACAAGGGATATTGGTAAGTACGCTATGATAAACACTCCGTAATGGTGCTGTATCGGCATCTACTGCTATGTAGGAGTTGAGCTTCCAAATACGTAGAGACCTTCAAGATTGCAACGGCACGGAATACTATATATGGGCATTGCATGTAAATCAATGCCAAATGTCTCGGACGAACCTTGCAAAGAAACACTTAAAGGGGCAGCTATCCACCCAAAGAGATTACTGTTTGTCCGTTTTTGTTAAGGTCATTTTCCAACTTACCGTCTCGAGCATGGTAAAACATATAGACGTACACACTTACCTACTTAGGTAGGCACTTAATATACTACGCAGGTAATATACCCCCGAATACTTTCTCCTATGGTGCAACTTATAAGGCTAGGCCACGTGGAAGTTAGTTAGTCTTGTCGAGAGCTTGCCTGAGAGGCCTTTTCTGCGGGCTACCCACAGCATGTTAAGGATATGCCCGCAGGGTAAAGAGCTTCATCTATTGGGGGCTTACCAATGACCCCCTCTTCCTCGTCACTCTACTTAAGGGTCTTCTCAGAAGCTTTAGAAACTTAACCCAAACACTAAGAGGTCTATCTTGATAGGTAGGTACCTTTATTAAACCATCTATCATAGTACGGCATTCTCCCCTTGGTAATGTACTCGATGTATTATATCTTCCCCTACGTAAACGAAGACTGGACACGTATGTAGGAGTAATAGATGATGACTTAAGGCTCGACTTATAGATATGCAGCCACCGTCGCCACGGCGCCACACAGAAGCTTAGAGCTTGCAGCTTGCAATTAATCTGATGCGTTCCGACCTGCTGGACTTCCAACTGGCCCGCCTCGTCTCCGCCTACTTAAGTCAAGGTTTCAACAAAGCAACATTCAAGTACCGAATCTGAGATGTGCCAAGAGAGCGCATATCTTGTATGATGTCACGTACAAGCTACTGTATAAACGCTAATCGTGGTAGACAGGTGGTAATTCAAGATTGCGCATAGAGCTATTCCCGTGTATGAAAAATGGCATTTTTACTGCTACGTCATGCAGTGGTGGTCTCATACTCAATTCTCTTCAATGAAAACAGAGGCCCAATGCTCGTCTCACTGCTACCCGAGGCAACCTAGAAGACCTGTCACATATCAGCTATCCCTCAGGCAGACCGGTCAAAAGGCCTGACTATACTACCTACCTACCTATGTATAAGCAGATCGCCAACGACAGCTCGGCGTATGCAGATGGACGCTTGTAGAAGGATAGGACATGGCATCTAAGAAGGTCCAGAACGACCCCGACCGGATATACGGCGCTGTTGGTCGCCACCCACGCGCGTACCCCGGAGGATAGATCGTCGCGGCAGCTGTCGGCGCAATAGATTGCGAAACACAGGACTGCGTCATTATCTTGTTATATTGTAGGTATGTGGGAAAGGCGGGATCCTTCCAACCAGAGCCAATGCAGATAGGTGATTCGAGATCGAGCGCCGACCATGCGACCACCCGAAGCGCACGCGTTATCCGCTTACGGTGGTGCATGTGGATGACTGGGATTGGCTTGCGAGACTCGGCGGAAAAAAAAAAGGTTGAAGAGGGGGGGCAATAAGATCACTGAAAGGCGCCCCCTTCCTGCAAGATTGCATGGAGTAATCGAGAGATCGGGTCAAGTTGCTCAGACCAAAAAAGTTAAATGAAACGACAGGTCTCTTTTCTCTCTTTTCATTCTTCCGAACCCTCGATAATGGCTGCGGGAATCTGATGGTCAGCTTACCACCTCGACGCCACTCCGTCCGGCAGGGCAACGGATTACTGTGAATCTCAACAGTTACATCGCTGGTGGATTTGTAGCGACGATTGCATTGCATGGAAGGCTAGCAGGGCGTATAGCTTGTTGTGTATAAGTAGCCCGAGGTTCGTTGGTTCATTAGTTGATTGTCTCGGTTGACTGCATCTTACCGTCTGTCCCTTGCTCACTTGCACGCTTCGAAGCGGGAACTTTAGGGGATCACGTATCGTGTAGACAATTCATAGGTTAGGTAGCAACAGGATCAGCGGCGCAAAGCTGATCTATGCGCGAAACAGATGAAACTAGATACGAAGGCGTAACTACCTAGGTTAGGTACTCATGAGTGCAACGAAGACGCGGTAGATGCCATACACTGTTGTGCGGATATCCTACTCGTTCTGTTCGTCCTGTTCTAGGTAGGTGAATAGGATAGTGAATCTAGGATGGGTAGCGATAAGGCGTCCACCTGGAAGAATCTGCATATTCCTTTTGGCTACGTAGTTGCACCTATCGGCTGGAGAGGGCAAGTTAAGACATACATGAAGATGTAGGTATGGGGAATTCTATTGGGTAGTAAACGGAAGGGCTATATTGACTTGACAGTAAGGCTGAAACAGCGGCTTGAGACAATGTTGTCAGTTATCTTACATAATTATTAATTTATATATAGGTATCGTAGCACATGCTGGACGGGTAGGGGATCCAGAGTTTAGGTAGATTATCTCGATGCATAGGATCGTGATCTAAGATATCTCGAAAGGGAGAATGTAAAGATTTGGCATATTACATAGTTAACAGGTAAGGAAAAGGCGGTCGTACGCGTAGCTTTCTGATCCGCAAGCAGCCGAGGTATCAGCAAAGGGAATTGCTAATGGTAATTACGGCATAAGCCAAGCGTACCGATACAAATGCATACCGGGGGAATATTATCGGCGATCACTTTTCCAGCGTGGTTTAGGAGATGCTGGTTTAGGTATTTTGACTAATATTGTAAAAACCGTGCGTCCCGATATGCGGAACGGTGATGGAGAATCAAGAGTGTGGTAGTACTCATCTCTAATCAGCGGCCTTTGTACCACGTATAGTTCCTTGGAATAATATCAGTGATTTGCAGTAGGTTAGTTGACAACTCATCCCCGTCCGCTCTTGAACCTCTCACTTTGTGGGAAGTGATAAGTGACAGAAACTTGTACGCTTTGCGACAATAGGTCCTTCGGCTATAGAGCAACGTCAGAGCTGACCCCTACCCCAGGGATATATCAGATGTACGCATAATAGAGTATCTGCAGAAGAAGCCGGCTAGTGAAGACTTGCCCGACGCTCTGTTACTTGGGATGACTTAAGGGGGAGGCTTATTGGTTAGTCTAGCATCGCCTATGAGAGCAGCTAGCCCCTGACCCCAGACGAGGCGAGAGCGCTGTATGGAGGACTGAGCTAGAAGCCAGATCCTGCAATGCATCCATCTACATAATAGAAGCGGCAGGGAGGAAACGGTCCCGATCTAATTTATTAATTCATTCAAGGACCAGGCTCTGGGATAGTTTGGTGGACGGTGGGCTTTGAACAATCGCTCACCACTTCCTTTCACCGGACTTTGCTGCGCCAATAGGAGCTCATGAATATCCCTG